GTTTTATAAGATAGCTATGAGACCAACTTTGCTTTCTGAAGCATAATGTTGGACGTTCAAAAAATAACATACCCATAGAATGATTGTAACTAAGATGAGGGCATTGAGATAGATGACTGACAAGACAAGAAGGGATAAAATTCGATATGAATACATTCAGGAGATTTTATATATGGTACCAATAGGCGATAAGATGACATAAAGTAGACTTAAATGAACTAGCCATTTGCAACGCAGACTACGTACAATATCTATTAGGAGGTGCAAGTTAATTCAAGTGGAAGGATCATAACGAGTAAGGGATAGGCCTAAAAAGACATGTGTGAAAGTAATAAGAAAATATATAGAGACTTGTGGCCTCACTGAGGGTATGACCCTTAATAGAACAGAATGACGAACCAAGATTCGTGTAGCCGACCCCAATTAGTTGGGAAAGGGCTTTGATAATGATGGTAATGATGATGTTGTTCATATTATTTATATGCATCGTTACTTATGCATACTGGGTCCTGGTCAGGTTGACCTCAACCTGATAGGGTCCAAGATGGACTAGACCTAGACCCGACCTAATTAAGGTCAAGGTCAAGGTCAAGTGGATCCAAACTTAACGTCGGGTCCATTGTCAAGGTCCAGACCTAGATCCAATCGATTCCCAACCCATTTCCCACCCCTAAGAATTAAGTAAAAAAATCCACGTAAACAATAAATTTATTAATAAGCCCACATTTCTAAAAATGGATTTGTGTGCTGACTTGGATAGCTTGCAATCCGAGTCATTCCATTAATCTTGAGTTGCTCAAAAATGATGAGAAATATTATGAAAAATATAAAAAGGAAAATTGTTTCATGCAGGCTGGATTGCATGACTACATATGAGGTCCAAAAGTGTAAAGCATCCATCTTAAAGATGGATACAAGTAGGTGTTTTATCTAAAAAAAATGGAAACCAACAGTCTAAATGTTTTCTTACTTGAATTATTATTTTTAGTTTTTAAAATTTACTTATGTTTTCATATTCATGATCTCCATGTTAGAGATTACATGTCCTTAAAAATTAGGTCAAAAAATCCATCTCAAAAATGGATTTATTAATAGGCCCGCATTGCTACATATGCGGTCTTGGCCGCATAGAAACCAAGTCCATATAAAAATGATTGTATTAGTTTGCAGTGAAAATCTATTTGTGCAGCATCTATTGTGATAGAATTTTTGAAAAATTCATAAATACTAGGGGGCATTTATTTGTTTGAATATCACGAATTCATTCCATTGTATAAAAGGAAGTACATAATAATAATGAGTTCCATGAGAGAAGTCAATTATGAAAAAACAAATAAATGAGTTAAAATACATAGAAAATTAATGGAAAGATTGGGGTAAGAGCTTAACGATTTGCAATGCTACATCCTAAGCTCAATTCCTACCAAGGATAAAGACCCTCTCCGCATTGACTCACCCAAAAACATAGGAAAAAAAAGGAATGGTTTAGTAGTGTAGTCTTTAGAAATGTGCTTACAAACTTAAAAATGCACTACATTAATTTCTTCACAAAAATTTATCTCTCACTTCTTTCAAAGCTTCAATTCGTCCCTTTCCACTTCTCTTAAAATCTCTCTATAGGGTATTTGACTCCGTTCATGACCTTAGGGTCAAGTGATTGTTGTATGTATATATTAGAATATCGGTTGAAGAAATAAATCTAGAGAACACAAACATTAACGGCTGTTTGGGTCCTTGAAAATTAATTTTCAGGATATTTTTCTCTAAAAATGAGGCATCTCTGGTGATTTTCACGCCGAAATTAGAGCATAAATCTTCCTATCATCTCCAGGGTTACCTTAATTTTTTTGGTAAAATATCTTCAGTGAAGTAGGCAGAAAATTTATTGGAAGTGGTCTTTTTCACCCCCAATTGCTCTCTCCAACCAGTCCAATGCCTCCCTCTCTCTCTCACACCAATCATCTTTCCCAGTAATTTTAAATAATTTTTTTCCAAGGACCCAACGGGCCCGTAAGAGAAGATCCCATAGTTAATTATCAATATGCTATCATTAATTGATCATAATCAAATATTTAACTGTTTAAATTTTTAAATGTCCAAGCTATTTACTTGATAAATAATCGGCCCACTAAGATTTTCTTTATATGATTGATTATTCACACTATGTTAAAAAATGAGGAAGAGGTTTTGATCAGTGTTGTCAAATTCGCTTCACTTCAACTGAAGAGGCCGAAGCCTTCGGATTTTGCTTATCTCTTAAAATTTTAAGTACTTTATATCTCTAATATTTGATATAGTTTCTCTCTCTAAAACTTGAAGATACTTTTATCTCTAAAATATAAAATATGAGATACTTTGTATCTCTCCAATTTAAGATAATTTTTCTATTAAATATTTTTAGATTATTTCTCTCTCTAAAATTTGATCTAGTTTCTCTATCTCAAATTTTATGATACATTCTCTCTTTAAAACTTAAAATTTGAGATAGTCTCTTTCTCTAAAAATTTTCAAGTAGTTTATCTCCCTAAAATTTGATATAGTTTCTCTCTCTAAGATTTTAAGATAGGTTTCTCTATCTAAAACTTAAAATTTGAAATAGTTTCTTTCTCTAAAAATTTTAAGAAAGCTTTTCTCTAAAAATTTTAGGTACTTTCTCCAACTAATATTTGATATAGTTTCTCTCTCCAAAACTTTAAGATACTTCTTTCTCTAAAATATAAATTATGAGATAGTTTATCTCTCTAACAAATTTGAGATAGTTTCTCTCTCTAAATATTTTTAGGTACTTTCTTTTTAAAATTTGATATAGTTTCTCTATCTCAAATTTAAGATAGTTTCTCTCTCTAAAACCTAAAATTTGAGATACTTTCTCTCTCTAAAAATTGAGATTGCTTCTCCCGCTAAAGTTTTTTACGTATTTTTCTCTCTCTAAAATTCAAATTTTAAGATTGTTTCTCTAAGACCTAAAATTTGAAATAGTTTCTCTCTCTAAGAATTTCAGGTACTTCCTCTTTATAGAACTTAAAATTTGAGATAGTATCTGTCTCTGAAAATTTAGAGATAGTTTCTTTCACTAACACTTAAAATTTAATATTGTTTTTCTCTCTAAGGCATATTTAGATACTTCTCTCTCAAAAATTTGTATAGTTTCACTCTCTAAAACATGATTATATACTTCTCTCTCTAAAATTTGATATAGTTTCTCTATCTAAATTTTCGATATTATCTCTCTCTAAAACCTAAATTTTGAAATAGTTTTTGTTTGTAAAAAATTTGAAATAGTTTCTTTCTCTCAAATAGTTTAGGTAGTTTTTTTCTCTTAAATTAGATATAGTTTCTCTCTCTAAAATTTTAAAACTTAAAGTTTGAGGTAGTATCTCTCTCTAATTGGCGACCGAGTTTTGGCATAAGTAAATGTATTTTATAAAGTGGATGTCTTCGTGATGGAGAAATCTGACTGGAAATCAATTTATGAGAGTAAAAGCAATGGTACATATTTCTTTATTTTTGGCTTGAAATGAAAAAAGTCTTTTATTTGCGGAAATACTTTTCAGGCCCAAAATTCGATCCAAAAACATCTCCATGATAAAAAATGGATTCCTAGACGACCGTCCTCATCGTCGTCCTTTCTAGAAATCTAACTTCCCCGCTTTTTCTTCATCCGTAAGTTAATGATGACGGTCCCGTGCCGCAAAGTCTGTCTTAGGCAAT